TGATGGATACATTCCTCAAACAAGGTAATGGCCTGATATTGTTCCTATAACTTTAATGTTTTAATTTTAATATTTGCATTTTGTTTTTTATTCATTTGTCGTAGCATTCAACAGAATCATTGTTTTCGCCGTGAAGTGTAATGAGACAGACAACATACACTAGGGTGTGTGTGCGAATTATGATTCACATTGGCAAACTATAAAATGTCTAGATATTACTGTTCTGTTATAAATTCACTATAAGTATCAGCAGATCGTCAGCTTTTTATTTAGTTTCAAAATGCATAAAAGTATGATAATAAACTAATTAGGATTATAAGACCAAATATAAAGACGCACATTGACTAGTATCTACATACTGGTGAGTGGACATTAACCATGTGAATGTAGCAAGAAATTTATCGCGCAGTATTGTGACTTCGACCCCCACCTCGCTTCCGTGGAAGAAATCGTTATGTTATAAGTTGTGTCATGCAAAATCCGTTTGGTTATGATTCCAATACACATTTAACTACGAGTAGAAAGTAGTTTTGATTTTTCTAACTTGATGAAAACAAACTATAATCTCATTAATTCTAACAGACTTTACGATTTTCAAAAATGGCGGCGCCCTGTCGGGAACATCCGCCAGTCTGTGGATAAATGCTATTTAGGTTTGTTTTCACCGAGTTACAAAATCCAAACTACTTTCTACTGGTAATAAAATATGTATTTTATTGATGGCCAATAGGATTTTGCATGACATAAGCGTATAACATAACAATTTCTCTCCTGGCAGCGAGGTGGGTGTCAATATAATACTACTTACAATATTATTGTTACTTCGACCACAACCTCACTTCCGAGGAAGAAATCGTTATGTTACAAGTTGTGTCATGGAAAATCTTTATGGTCATCAATCATATACATATTTTACTACAACTAGTAAGTAGTTTTGATTCTTTAACTTCCGTGAAGCGATCTGAACACAAGTAAGATATCGTTTCAGGCTTCCACAACGCTCGCTTCGCACTCACAAACATAACCCATTTAGCACGAACTGTGGGGTCCTGTGGAAATCTGTGCATGGTGACACCATCGCCCGACCCTAGGAGCAATTGACGACAAAGCAACGATTCGACATGTCGTCGTTGATGTCGAGAAATCATCAAAATGATGAGCATGCTACACATTTTCTATACAACTAACTGAAAATCGTTCCTCATATGACGTCACTTCCGGTTCGCTGTGGCGACAGTTACGTAACCTGTCTGAGGAGGTTTCGTTGGCGGGCGAGAGGGAAGCAGGCGACTTTTTGGCCAATTTTAATCGCTCGGTATTAATTAACCACAAGTTGTTAAAGAATAAATTTGGTGTTCCGCATAAGACTAACCACAAATCTTTCATATGTAATAGTTAAAAGAGTAACAAAAAACAAAGTTTAGTGGTTCTTTAATGAATTTATAACAGGTATAATTAGTGGTAACACACTTAGATTACCCGACAAAGGTTCCCATTTGGCATTTCTTGTGTCTGGAGTAAATATTCAACATTATAAACATCGATCAAAGGATTAACCGATAACACGCTGATTGATTAATTACTTTTATCTTACACAGCGGAATTGTCAAAAGGTAGTGTTTATGTATGTACATTTACTAATCTATACTGAATACACTCTGCCGTGTCGGTGTCTGCGTAAAAAACAACGTCCTTCTTTCAAAGGATTAACCGGCAATACATTGATTGATTGCCCATTATTGGCTAACTAAATTACTGTTTTAATGAAAGGCGGACATTATGCAATTAGTTGCCAGGTGTGCTATCTTGGGTGACCAATGAGACTATACACCAATACCTGAAAAGATTTATCACTTTTTTTCGTATATTAAACTGTTAAAAGACACATCATTTGGAACAGTTTTGTGGATATTGATGGATACATTCCTCAAACAAGGTAATGGCCTGATATTGTTCCTATAACTTTAATGTTTTAATTTTAATATTTGCATTTTGTTTTTTATTCATTTGTCGTAGCATTCAACAGAATCATTGTTTTCGCCGTGAAGTGTAATGAGACAGACAACATACACTAGGGTGTGTGTGCGAATTATGATTCACATTGGCAAACTATAAAATGTCTAGATATTACTGTTCTGTTATAAATTCACTATAAGTATCAGCAGATCGTCAGCTTTTATTTAGTTTCAAAATGCATAAAAGTATGATAATAAACTAATTAGGATTATAAGACCAAATATAAAGACGCACATTGACTAGTATCTACATACTGGTGAGTGGACATTAACCATGTGAATGTAGCAAGAAATTTATCGCGCAGTATTGTGACTTCGACCCCCACCTCGCTTCCGTGGAAGAAATCGTTATGTTATAAGTTGTGTCATGCAAAATCCGTTTGGTTATGATTCCAATACACATTTAACTACGAGTAGAAAGTAGTTTTGATTTTTCTAACTTGATGAAAACAAACTATAATCTCATTAATTCTAACAGACTTTACGATTTTCAAAATGGCGGCCCTGTCGGGAACATCCGCCAGTCTGTGGATAAATGCTATTTAGGTTTGTTTTCACCGAGTTATCTAAAATCCAAACTACTTTCTACTGGTAGCAAAATATGTATTTTATTGATGGCCAATAGGATTTTGCATGACATAGCGTATAACATAACAATTTCTCTCCTGGCAGCGAGGTGGGTGTCAATATAATACCACTTACAATATTATTGTTACCTCGACCACAACCTCACTTCCGAGGAAGAAATCGTTATGTTACAAGTTGTGTTATGGAAAATCTTTATGGTCATCAATCATATACATATTTTACTATAACTAGTAAGTAGTTTTGATTCTTTAACTTCCGTGAAGCGATCTGAACACAAGTAAGATATCGTTTCAGGCTTCCACAACGCTCGCTTCGCACTCACAAACATAACCCATTTAGCACGAACTGCGGGGTCCTGTGGAAATCTGTGCATGGTGACACCATCACCCGACCCCTAGGAGCAATTGATGACAAAGCAAAGATTCGGCATGTCGTCGTTCATGTCGAGAAATCATCAAAATGATGAGCGTGCTACACACTTTCTATACAACTAACTGAAAATCGTTCCTCATATGACGTCACTGCAGTGCTCTGGCGACAGAGTTACGTAACCTGTCTGTGGTTTCGTTGGCGGGCGAGAGGGAAGCAGGCGACTTTTTGGCCACTTTTAATCGCTCGGTATTAATTAACCACAAGTTTTTAAAGAATAAATTTGGTGTTCCGCATAAGACTAACCACAAATCTTTCATATGTAATGGTTAAAAGAGTAACCAAAAACAAAGTTTAGTGGTTCTTTAAAGTGCATATGAAAAAGATCAAATTATAAAAACAAACATAATTATATTATAAATGTAATTGGCTATATGGGGGTTAAAGTGAGTGCGTTAATATTTATCGTCACGTCGGCAATATTTCAGCCATATCGTGACGAAAACCAATTTGACATTATATGGGGGTTAAAATCATGGTTACAGTGAGTAAAAAAACCCATGTCTTTACCAGAGGCTATGTATTGTGACCATGTTCTGAATCGAATAGAAGTGTGTATGTTTAACCTCCACCGTGGGCTTCCTGTTCTAATTAGTTTGTGGGCGGTGGGGTAGCCTAGTGGTTAAAACGTTCGCTCGTCACGCCGAAGACCCGGGTTCGAATCCCTGAATGGGTACAATGTGTGAAGCCCATTTCTGGTGTTCCCCGCCGTGATGTTGCTGGAATATTGCTAAAAGCGGCGTAAAACCAAACTCAGTCAGTCTAATTAGTTTGTACTATCGCACATAGTTCAAAACTAGCGTATTGACTTCAATTAATACCATCCAATATTTTCTTGCAAGACGACACAGGTAGTTGGTCCCGCAGTCCTGGGACTCGATCCGCAAAACGTTCGTAACGTTACGACTTGTCGTAAGTATACAGTTTATTATATGCTTACAAATGTCGTAGCGCTACGAACTCATTGTGGATCGGGGCACAGAGTTGCATCTCTAGGCCTGCCAGCAACTCGTGGATCTGAGTTGGACTCCCAGAATCGCCCTGATTATATTTTAAAGCTGCGTCACTCCTGGCCTTCTTCACACTTCAAGCTGACACGCTCCGTGATATAAGTGAAATACCGCTAAACGCTGCGTTAACCCCAACACACCAACGTATCTACTCCTTTGGTCCAGCCCAGCTGCGTAGAACGATGTTCATGATGTTGATCACTGGATTGTCTGTTCAGGCTCGTTTATTTACAGACCGCCGCCATATAACTGGAATATCGCTAAGTGCGGCGTTAAACAACAAACAAATCAACCAACCATCCAACCTTTTCTCCCGCGCTATTTGTACCAGATGGTTCCATACCTTGTCAAAACGAAGGGAATCTGGTAGAAATAGGTCCCCAGTTTTCCATGGGGCCGACTAAAGAGGATCGAGTGTTATCTCAACCCTCCATCTTGTGTCGGAGACGCTGGCCGTCATATAATCTACCACTGGCTTGACTGCCTGGTCCAGGCTTGATAACTGGTCTGGTTAGGTTAGCGTGATATAACTATAATATCTGCGACGAAATGTAGCAATAAGTCACATCATTCATGCTTGTGGATTTTCACCAAACGACTGAACTGAAAAGTTAGAAGGTTGGCTCATTGTCTTCTCATGCCATTCACTGTTGCTTGAAGACAAGCATGTATTGAATATAGTCACCTAAGAAGGTTGGAATGTCGAACGTCATAGAAATTCTCAGCAGTCGAACTGCCGTACGGGGTACAACCATCCAACTTCTCTCAAATGTTGCTTACCTTCACCTTGTTAGCCGTAGATAGTTCCATTGACACTATAAAACATATCAACGCAAACACTGGTCATGCGGAACATTAGCCTTTTCTTCCAGACCAATGTACGTGCGGTCAGGAGCAGAGTATACTGCAGAACAGACGACCTTTCTCCCCAGAATAATGAAAACAACAGAACTGGTAATTAGAAATGAAACAAACATGTATATTACTATCTTACAAATTACACTTATAACGACTGTTAAGGTAGGTAAACTACTACGATCGCCTTAAGGCGAAGATCGCTTTAACAGTACCTGCATATTACTGTTATATTAAGGGAAACAGACTACAGGGTGTTACTAGTGTTCATGTTGTTTCTAGGGATGTCGTCCGATGTCATCTACCCCATAAGTAACTGGAGAAACTAATTAAGTCACTGCAAACATCGATGTCACAACATAAATCCGCTTGAATGGATTTTATCCTGGCAAAATTCTAATGTAGAGTAACGGGTTCTTCTAACAGGTCCTTTCCCACGTGTAACTCCGGTCGGCATTACTGCGGTTACTGCCATCTCATTATTCCGATGTTCATCGCCATCAGAGTCTTGCTTATCTTACTAGCTCTAGTTAAGATTTTATTCTTATCATGCACGCTGTTGAAAGTGATCAGAATATCTCCAGGCGATCCTTCTGGTGTACCCGACATTCGAGCTAGACGGAAGCATGTCATTGGCATTGTGCGTGCCTGTGCCTCCTCTATTCCAAACGTTGCAATCAAGAACTTCCTGAGAACCTCATCAACGTTCTCCCCAGGCATTTCCTTGATTCCCACGAAGCGTATTCTTGACATAGGCGAGTATGAAGACGCAAAATTGATCGCTTGTTTGATGTCATGTTGGCTATCGGGAGGGGTGGCTGCAGGAACTGCCTGTGCTCCTGCCACCGTTCCTTGTTCCATAATGGACAATTTATTTGATACAGCCCTCACCTCCGTTGCCATTGCTTCTATCTTCATATTCAGCGCGTCCATCTTTTGGTGCATGCCCACCATGGCTGCTCTCATGTCTTCTGGAGACATATATCCAGCTCCCGCCATACCGGAAGCAGAATTTTCTCTTGTTGTGGACACTACTGTCAAGTAAAGATTTGCAATAGAAGATTACAATCACAAAGTTACCACAGCACAGCAGGAGCTAAGATGAGAACACGTACCTTGCTGACGAAACTGTTGTCCACAAGTTCTTCTAAACACACTTGTATGATAAAACGTTTGATCGAGATGCGATGGACTTAGCTATCACCTGATAGGTGACATACTTACTGAATTTCACAACAATGAAGTTAACACTTTATATATCACCACGTCCTTTATACGGTATCGCCTATCAACGACGGGACAGTAAGATGTGCATGGGTTAATGTACTAGTAACCTTTAACCTCGAGTGGCAAACGCTAGATGCACTGGGTTGTTATCACTGATAAGTGGATATTTTGCAACAAATGGATGTGGATCATATCTGGAGACAGAGCGAATGGAACGGTGGATGGGGAATTTGTATTATTTGGATATCGAATAGTTTTATATTGATTGATTGAATATTGATTGTGTGAATTAGTGAGGATGAGCGGAGGGTAGAATGAAGAAAAGGACATGTAAAACGATAGAATGAGTGATTGAGAGAGTTGTGGATATGAGCTTATGGGTGTATTTATATTTCTTGAGCACGTTACCTTGATGGTAAAATTAGCCTAAGAAACTTGCTCAATGTAAAGTAAACGCATTTCCTCCACTGTTTGGATCAGGTGGGGTACATTAATATGGTAATCAAGTAGTATGGTACCTTAATAGAAGCGTGATACTCTACTGCTTCCTGAAGATTGAACATTTCAGCATGATGACAAACCTTAAACAACAAACACTTGACAACACAAACCGGACAGTTTATATGAAACCAGTCTGTTCGAGTGTGAATAGTGGAGGGATATGCACTATACGCACAAAAAAAACAGAAGGAAGCGAACTGTATTTTTAAGGTTTATTGAATAATAATCGTGCAACAGACACAATTTGAAAAGGAAACAACAACACGGTCAATATACTAACAGAAAGCAAAAGCACTTTGACATTTAGCCACTTCAATATTTGGAATGTCTCTTGTTTACTGGAGCACTGGCAGGATGACAACATTTGTTGTAGAAGACAGACTTGTGTCTGTTTTACTTTCGGAGAAATGCAAGAATCTTCTGTGAAAAGGAGACTCTTTCTTCTGAAGAATCTCTGGTGGTTGTCTGATGGAGTTTGTTCCGTCTTCGTAGAGCAAAACGTCTGGAGTTGACATTTGTCCAAATGTTGACTTTGCTGTCTAACCGACGTCTTTTAGCTGGTGCTTCAGCTTCACATACATGGGCGCCAGACGTCAAGAGACACCTTTCAACTTTGGAAATGACACGTTCTTTCCTTCGGAGCTCAGCCTCTTCTTCTTCTTTCAAGCTGAGCGATATTCGCGTCTTGATGTTTCTAGTGAAAGGTTGGTGCGAATGTGTCAGTCGTCGCATCTTCTTAAACTGCACAGAAGGAAGTGGACTGCCAAGTTGAGCCAAACTGGACTGGAGACTTCGAAGAGACCCCATGTGACCCATGTGACCCCATGCACACATGACGGATTTTCAAAGTCGCAATGGCCAAGCTGAATTGAAATACAAGGAGTCTTTTGCTCTCGTATCTTAAGTTGATATGAACCAGTATGACCTAATGATACCATCTTGTATTATACTGCGCAATCTACGTCTTGACAAAACAGTATGTTAAGTTTCGTACATTTAGCCTATGGCTTTCTTTGTGTACATCGGCTATTGCCCTTATGAATTTGATGTCAGGAAAAACATGTCCGTTTCTAATGTCAAACGTTACTCTTTACTTTCTCGTGAATCTACTTTTGCCGAGGCTCATCCAACGAGCCAAGATAAAATTGAAGATGATGAAGAGGACACACGTGTAATGGACTTACACATCTATTCATTGACGGCAGTGTTTGTAAACTTTTCGTCCTTACCCTTTCAGATTCTCATAAATGGGCAATGTCACGTGTTATAGGTAAAATTGTCTATCAGCTAATCTTATATTCATTAATGCTCTATGGGATCTACATGGGGATGGCCTAAAAGTCTGGCCGGGCCCGGCCAAGGCGGTCCAAATCTGTTATTGGCTAATAAAACCATGCCTACAATTAATCAATGCAACATACACTCATGATAATAATGATCAATCGGAAGCCACAAACGCGTACCATAATAACTTTATTACGAGTAAATCGGCTAAAACCCAGGAAGACGAGAAGCCTGTGAACTGGCTGACCGTGGTTACGTATAAAAGTGGAATCGTTAAACGAAACGGGATTTAATACGTATAAATACTTCAGCCAATTCCGATACACATTTCCGTCGGCCCGAAAATGATTTCACATCTATATCCAATCGCATACCACCCCATAAATTCACTATTCATCGTATTTAAAGCATGCCCACATTTAAATGATACGATCTCTTCCCCACACTCTCAACATTATCTCGGCCACAATTTTCCGCCCGGGCTCCCCACATGGGCTCGAGCCGTCAAAAGCAGCGTAAAACCAAAACGTAACAACAAAAGCAGTATCTTGAAATGTGTTTAATTCCATAGACTGGTATGATATCTGCCTAAATATCGCTTTGTAATATTATAAAATGCCACATGTAAAGAAAACTGCTCCGTTAAAGTGAAGCCCTTCTCTCACATTTTTCAACATAGCCTCAATCAAAAGTGTTTAGTCTCTGTTCAGCCAGACTTGGCCCGTGCTGTCAAAAACACCTTAAACCCCTACATGTATCCTGATTTGTGTTTATATCCATAGATTAGTATTATATCTACCTACATATCATTTCACAGAGTCTAGAAGCGTAGTATTTGAAGCAAACACCTTGCTCAAAGTGAAGCCCTATTTTCTGTACATTCTCAACAAAGACACAGTATCACAAGCTTTCGGTCCGGCTTGGCCCGGGCTCTCAAACGCACCTTAAACCTCACAGATGTATTTTGAAATGTGTTTAAATCCATAGATTGGTATTATATCTACCTAAATATCAATGTGTGATGTTACAAAATGCCACATGTAAAGATAACTGCTCCGTTAAAGTGAAGCCCTTTTCTCTCTCCATTCACAATATAGTCTCAATCAAAAGTGTTTAGTCTCTGTTCAGCCCGACTTTGGCCCGTGCTCTCAAAAACACCTTAAACCTCACACATGTATCTTGAAATATGTTTATATCCATTGATTAGTGTTATATCTACCTACATTTCACTTCACAGAGTCTAGAAGCGTAGTATTTGAAGCAAACACCTAGCTCAAAGTGAAGCCCTATTTTCTATACATTTTCAACAAAGACACAGTATCAAAAGCTTTCGGTCCAGCTTGGCCGGGCGCTCAAACGAACCTTATACCTCTCAGATGTATCTTGAAATGTGTTTAAATCCATAGATTGGTATTATATCTACCTAAATATCACTTTGTAATGTTATCAAATGCTACATGTAAAGATAACTGGTTCGTTAAAGTTAGCCCTTTTCTCGCTCCATTCTCAACATAGCCTCAATCAAAAGTGTTTAGTCTCTGTTCAGCCCGACTTGGCCCGTGATGTCAAAACACCTTACCTAAATATCAATGTGTGATGTTACAAAATGCCACATGTAAAGATAACTGCTCCGTTAAAGTGAAGCCCTTTTCTCTCTCCATTCACAATATAGTCTCAATCAAAAGTGTTTAGTCTCTGTGCAGCCTGACTTGGCCTGTGCTCTCAAAACACCTTAAACCTCACACATGTATCTTGAAATGTGTTTATATCCATAGATTAGTATTATATCTACCTACATTTCACTTCACAGAGTCTCAAAGCGTAGTATTTGAAGCAAACACCTTGCTCAAAGTGAAGCCCTATTTCTGCACATTCTCAACAAAGACACAGTATCAAAAGCTTTCGGTCCGGCTTGGCCCGGGCGCTCAAACGCACCTTATACCTCTCAGATGTATCTTGAAATGTGTTTAAATCCATAGATTGGTATTATATCTACCTAAATATCACTTTGTAATGTTATCAAATGCTACATGTAAAGATAACTGGTTCGTTAAAGTGAAGCCCTTTTCTCTCTCCATTCTCAACATAGCCTCAATCAAAAGTGTTTAGTCTCTGTTCAGCCCGACTTGGCCCGTGCTCTCAAAACACCTTAAACCTCACACATGTATCTTGAAATGTGTATATATCCATAGATTAGTGTTATATCTACCTACATATCACTTCACAGAGTCTCAAAGCGTAGTATTTGAAATAAAACGTTGCTGAAAAATGAAGCTCTTTTCTACATATTCTCAACAAACAGTATCACAAGCGTTCGGTACGCCTTGGTCCGCTCTCAAAAACAACTTAAACCCCACGCATGTATTTTGATTTGTGTTTAAATCCATAGATTAGTATTATATCCACCTAAATATCAATGTGTGATGTTACAAAATGTCAAATGTAAAGATAACTGCTCCGTTAAAGTGAAGCCCTTTCTCTCTCCATTCACAATATAGTCTCAATCAAAAGTGTTTAGTCTCTGTTCTGCCCGACTTGGTCCGTGCTCTCAAAACAACTTAAACCTCACAGATGTATCTTGAAATGTGTTTAAATCCATAGATTAGTATTATACCTACCTACATTTCACTTCACAGAGTCTCAAAGCGGAGTATTTGAAGCAAAACGCCTTGCTCAAAGTGAAGCCCTATTTTGTATACATTCTCAACAAAGACACAATATCACAAGCTTTCGGTCCAGCTTGGCCCGTGCGCTCAAACGCACCTTATACCCTCACAGATGTATCTTGAAATGTGTTAAAATCCATAGATTGGTATTATATCTACCTAAATATCACCTTGTAATGTTATCAAATGCAACATGTAAAGATCAGATGATTTGAAAATAGGCTGCTACTGCCCAGCTCGGCCAGTTAGGCGAGACACTGTGGATTTAATGAAAACATACTTCTCCCACTTCTCTCTCTAATACTTCTATTGTCTGTATGCGTGTTCAGGAAAACAGGATTATCAGAAGAAGAAGAAGAAAGTATTTATATTTTTGTGTCACATGTTATATATAAAACATACATAAACTTTAAAACATTCAATAAAATATAACATCCGGCCTTATGGCCTATGAGACACAAGGCACTATATTATATCTAAAAACAGTATAGTAGTAAAGAAAATATCACAGCTTTGTAAGCAACATTGGAGTGTGGTATATATATTTAATT